GTTTCCTATCTGACAGAGAAAGTGCCTTCAAACCAGAATCACAGAGAAAGGGTGACTGGAGCACATGCCTGGATCCTCTGACCTCCTGGTCATCACAAATCAACCTTTAACTGGCTGTGTGTTCATATTTGAATGCTGCTGTTGAAAAACCAGCCTCTATCTCAGAGCAAAGCCTGTCCAAGGAAGGAACATCACCTTTGTCCTTGGAAAAACCCACAGAGCACTCCTAGGCACATTCCCCCCCCTGCTAAGTGGTTTATCTACAAATAACAGGAGAGATCGATGGCACCAGGTGTCCCTGACTCAGTCAGGCTAGGTGGGGACCCATAGCAACCCCCTAGCAGCCACCAATCAGCATGAGACAGGGAAATACCTGGGATGCCAGATGACCCTCCCTGTAGTTTATGGTGGTTGATAACATGTTGGGAAACCATGTAGTTCAGCACGTACACCCCTCTTGGCTTAAACCAATCAGTTCAAACGAATCCCCCTTTCCCCTGCCCAACTTGTTCCCGCCAGTGAATGTGCTAATCATGTTTTAGAGTTGTTGGTGTGTGATGATTTTCTAAGGGATGCTATGATGTATGTGAAGTCCCTGCCTTCCCCAAAGAGTGTATAAAACTGCTGCAAACCCTGGGCTCGGGGCCTCTCAGCGTCACCAGTTGCTGTGTGTGCGCGCGGAGGACCGAGCTAGCTCGCAATAAACACCTCTTTGCTGCTGACATCGATCTTGGTCTCTGGTGGTCTTTTGGGGGTCCCGAATTCGAGCATAACACCATTATTTTGTACTCTTATCAGAAATAAAGTTTAGAACTTGAAGCATTGTAATTTTGCATCTGATGAATCTTCTTTACCAACAGTAAACTGTCAGTGTACATAATGTTGGTTTTAAAATGGAAAGTAGAGGAACTTTTAGGATGAGCTTATAAGGGAACACTTCTTAGAGAAGTGGATTTTCCACTGAATATTTAAAAGCTGACATTTATTTTAGAAAACACTTAGGGAATATTGCTATCTACTTGATAGTCTGCAATGTACTTTCACAATTGTGTATTATTTAATAAGGAGAAAAATAAAAGAGAGAGGAAGAAAGAGCAAGAACACAGGGAACATTTAAGCTGAAAAAATAAATACTAAGGGAAGAGAAAGAGGTGTTGCATACTTTTAAGTCAAAGAGAAAGATAGACTTGTACAACAGGAACCATTTAAATCTGCCTTACTACACTCCCTTCAAGAATTAAGGTAACAGTTTGTCTATTCCATTGCTCTCACATGTTGAAGAGTGAGTGATAAAACAGCAAGTCCTTCTTACCATTGCACACTGAAAGGAGCTTACATAGATTCCCTCCAGACAACTCTTTCCCACCAGCATCTGCAGAGCACCCTTGGCTTCCCTCTTCCTGCCAGAACTCTAGAACCAGCTTAAAGCCTCACAAGTCCCTTGAGCCTAGACCTTCCTCCTTTTGCCAGTTCCAATCATCGTTCCTGAGTTTGCTTGTTCTTCTGGCATTTTCAGCCCACAACTGGGCTGTTCTCTCCCCTTCACCTTACAAACATGTTATCATCTTTCTCATCTAAAAAGCAATTCTCTGCACTTCCATTCTTCTCCTAGGACCCTTCCTTTCCTCTCGCCTATGCAGTTCCTTACAATCCTGTCCCCACTGCAGAAGATCCTCTCGGGCTCACTTCAGGCAGAACTCACCCAGTGCCTTTCCCTACAGGGTGAGTGCAGCCCACACTGCTGACTGTGGCTACTTGGCCTGTTAGCCATACTTTGTACAGGTGATCACTCTTCCCTTCCCGGAAACGTACCGCTGTTTACCGAGCCCTTGCTTCCCCAATGCTGAAGTATAACACCAGAGAAGCAGCACGCCGAGGCAAGTTTAGAGTGGAAAGTAGAAGATTTATTAAGGACAGTAGAAAAGACTTCTCCCCAGAGGAAAAAGGGGACCCAAGAGTGGAATCCATGAAAGGGGGGAGGTCTTCCCTCTTTTATAGCTAAGGTCTTCTTTCAGCTTTCCCGCATTTCTGCCCTTTGTTCCGTTTTCAGTGATGAAATGTAGGTGGAAAGGCCCAAAAGGAGGGGCAAATGGGCCAGAGGAGTCATCTGGGCAGGAAGGGCCTGGGGCGGCCTTTGATTAGCACCTCTCTGTTTGCTGAGAGCTGCTTCATTAACAGTTCCTTAGGATGGGCTCTGGGCCTTGGGGACATCAACATTTCAATCTCCCTCAGTGCTGCTCTGCTTTCCTGGGCTCCATTCTCTATAATGTCCTCCATTTTATCTATCTTACTCGACGTTAGGCCCGATTGACCTATAACCACACTAACTGCCTGGCTTTAAATCTGGCTCAGAAACACTGCTCGTTCCCCCAGGATCACCCCTGCTCCTGATCCCCTCAGTCCCTCCTTCCATTCCTCCAGTTTCTCCCCATTTCCCTGACCTGAGCATTGTGGTAACTCCTCCCTTGGCTGGGAACACTTCCCAGCTGTCTGCAGTGTTGGTGTCCCTGTCTCCCTAGGGTATTTGTGGACTCGCTTTCCTGCACCTTCCCCAATGGCCCCCCCACCCCATGGGCCTCTGTCATGCTCATAACACCTACATGGATACAGCTGTAGAAGTCAATTTTCCTCCTCTTCATGGGAATGCAGGCTCAGGGCAGCAGTGATCTACTTTGTGTAAGTACAGCTATATATTCTGCTCCAGAACCTAGAAGACTGGCTTGCACCCAGCAGCTGCCAGCAAATGCACATTTGTGAATGGCTGCCTGAGGAGGAAGGACTTGAACATAAAATATGAAATAGGTGAAAGTTGTCTCCAGGGCCCTTGGACCACCTGTGGAGCAAGACGGAAAATGATCTGATGCTCTGACCAGCCCCAGTTATGATGCTCCCCTCCCACAGCCCCTCGTTGAAATCACAGTGAGCACAAACTCCAAGGCACAGAGGCATGAGTGATATTTATTTTCTGGGAGGAACTTTAAGCACCATGGCTAAGAGTTACACAACTATGCACAGTGGTCAGAATCCTGAAAATCATTTCTAAACCTCCATCACTTTAGGTAAAAGATAATCTGTAAGGATGAGTGTGGATTATTGAAAGAATACATCTATAAAAAATAAAAACAAAATATTCCTTCTATGCAATTCCCAAGAGAAGATATACAATTAGAACATATTTAATTCATTTTTGATAAACTTTGTAAACTACTTTATGCACCAAGTAAAAAGGTGGCGCTGGGTGTGAAAATGTCCTTGAGGACCTAGTGACCTTCTCCTCATGCACTCTGACACCCTACAGCCTCTGATAATAGTTCTGAAGAGGGTAGAGAAGAAAGTGGTGAAACATGGGCTTTGTCAAGGAAAAGTGAAGCTTTTAAGAGAATTCGGAATCCCCTAAGTGGCTTCCAACATGGTGTAGCCACAGACATTACACCCTGCCTCCTGATTACCTGCCTGGCTCCAGGTGTCAATTTGAAAGTGATGCATGTCTAAGCAATATTCAGATGTGGGTGAAAATTATTGACATTGTTGTTCTCTGGAAATGATTCTCAAAGAGTTTATTTACAAAGGAAGAGTACATTTTATTTGTGGTGCCAGTAGGATACACACCACGAACTTCTTTTTGCAGAAGTGATGGAAATGCTAAGCCAAGGGTCTACAAATTCTGAAGGCTGGCTGCACATAGGACCCCTTAATAAGCCTCATGGCCTATCATCCTATTCTAATTAGATAATAAAGTGGGGAGAGTCAAATATGTTCTAATGTTCCCACTCTTTGAAAATAGTAGAATATCCTCCATAATCAAGACAAATCAAAGCCCATTCTCACAAATCCGAACAGAGCCACAAAAAATCTAACCCATCTAGAAAAAATACAAGAGTTCATGTTCAAAAACAAGAAAATATGCACATTATGTCTGGCAATGGTGCTTTGAAGAATATTTATTAGGCCTGTGGTATATTTTCTGGGACCTCTAAGCGACTTTCTTAAAATTTTGAGGAAGTGTGAATGAGAAATTGTTAATTGTTAATTCCTCTAACTCCTAAGGGTGCCCCTGTCAACACGTCCAACCCTGTCATCCTTATTCACTTGCAGAAATTTTAGCATGTTTTTCCACATTGTGGGATGGGATTCCTCCCAATGATAGGTCAGGTCTGAATGTCCTTTGGATGGACATTTATTCATTTAACATAAATCATTTAAGTCGGTTTCCATTGTCACTGGAATTCTGCTGTTAGCTTTGTTGGAGTGAAGGGATTCCTATGGTTTCCCAAACTCTTCTCATTCCTCCTGCCTTGATTAAGGTTATTCTGATAGCATATGGGGAAGGTAGAGGCTAAATAATCTTCAAACGTTTTAAGCAAGAGACTCATCATCTTCCCTTATTGCTAACAAGTAGTACTGAGAAATTATCCCCTCTGCATGCAGCAAAAACTCACAATCTTGTTTTGTCTCTTCTTCTTCATGAGCTATTGCTTCACAAAGTTGAACATACATGTCATTGAGCTCAGTTACATAAAAGAGTTAAAATACACAGAACCTACGACTCCCTGGTATTGGAGGTGCTAAGGTTAAATGGTTGACCAACTTATTTGGACTCTCGTTCAGGCGTTTGGCACTACAAAGGCACTGTAGGGCACATTTAATTTTCTAGATGAAGCATAGGTGCTTCTTTTGGACTATTTGAAGCAGTCTCATCTTTGTTGAGGACCTCCTGGGTATAAGTCACTGTGCCAATCTGGCTGGCCACCACATTCACAGCTGGTGTTTCCCACACGTGTCTCACCCTGAGTCAAGCCCGAGGAAAGAACGCTTGGCTTAGAGGGACATGAGGGGCACTGAGGTTGGTCCACTGGAGGGGCTGCATTCCCTCAACCTCACCATGCCATTTCCAGTCACATCAAGGGCCTCCTGGGTCTACACTGCCAGACACCCATTCGCTGGCGAGGTCCAACAACACCCACGGACGAGTCCAAGGCGATTCCCACCTCCCACCATTGCTACTGCCCTTGTGCTGGCCCCTTCCCCAGCACCTTCTTCACTGCCTCTTTCACGTCTTTGTTTCTCAGGGTGTAGATCAGGGGGTTCACACTGGGCGTGACGATTGTATAGAAAAGAGTGAGGAACTTGCCCTGGTCCTGGGAATAGGCGTTTGCTGGCTGGAGGTACATGTAAATGATGGTGCCATAGAAGAGCCAGACGACAGCCAGGTGTGAGCTGCAGGTGTTGAGAGCCTTCCTGCGCCCCACCACTGACCTGATGCGAAGCACGGCTCTGGCGATGTAGCCATAGGAGGTGAGGATGAGCAGCAGGGGTGTCAGGATGATGAAGATGGCCAAGGCGAAGGCCAGCGCCTCGAGGGTCGTGGTGTCTACACAGGCCAGGCCGATGAGAGCCGGCATCTCACAGAGAAAGTGGTCCACCCTCCTGTGCCCACAGCGGGGCAGCAGCAACGTCTGGGGGGCCATGATGAGAGAGTTGCTGAAGCCGCTCAGCCAGGCTGCAGAGGCCAGCTGCCCACAGAGGCGCGGGTGCATGATGACCGCGTAGTGCAGAGGCTTGCAGACTGCAACGTAGCGGTCATAGGCCATGACGGCCAGGAGCACGCACTCCACGCCTCCCAGGGCCAGGACGAAGTAGAGCTGGACGGCACAGCCCACGTAGCTGATGGTCTTGTCGGGGCCCCCCAGGTTGTAGAGCATCTGGGGGATGGAGCCCGTGGTGAAGCACACGTCCAGGAAGGAGAGGTTGGCCAAGAAGAAGTACATGGGCGTGTGCAGCCGGGCGTCCAGGGCGGACAGCAGGATGATGGCCATGTTGCCCAGAAGCGTGAGCAGATAGAAGGCGAGTACCACCACAAAGAGGCCCAGCTCCAGGCGGGGGCGGTCAGAGAAGCCCACCAGGATGAAGCCCTCAGAAGAACTTGCGTTCTGCCTGCCCATCACCTGCCCCCACACGTTACCTGTTGGGAGAAAGCCCCTGTGAGCTGCAGGCACAGGTCTTCAGGACGGAAGGCGCGGGAGGACCGGGGCCGCCCTCCGATCTGCAGGACGCTTGGCCCAGGAGTTCCACAGTAGGACCGCTCACGGTCTGGTCAGAAGAGCACAGTATATGGAGTTTGGGGGGCCTCCTGTCTATGATGACATACCAACATGTTGCATCATTCTGTTCAATATGGCAGGATGCAAAGAGTCACTTTCAAAAGGTGATGATTTTACAAGGATTAAGCACCCAATTTTTTTTTTCTACTTGTTTTCTTTTTAAAGGGAAAGTATCAAATTCTCCTAGTTATCTGTAACCCTGGGTAGGAGAACTGGCTTGTGTCACTGAATCAGAAAACCACATTTGCCATCAGGTGGAATCTCATTCTAAATGGTGTGTCATCCTGAGAAGATTGGCATCAGATCCAAATCCAATTTCAGGAAGAAGAGTCTTACCTCATTGTTATTTTATGTGTAATGGATTCCCATCCTGCTGGCTGTGGCAGGACCCCGATGCCCACATCAGAGAAGCTGGTAACAGACAGCTCACCTCAAACCCCACAGCCCTCTCCCCAGCCTACCCCAGAGCTCTGTGGTCCATTGTGCTTCATACCATGGAGGTGTTTGCTAATGCTGGGACTGCTTCCCTGAGGAGAGGAAAAAAGCAATTCCCAGGGCCAACCCAGTGGGACTGAGGCTTCGCATCTTCTGCTAGCCCCTCCTTTAACAGGCTTTATTCTCTGCTCCCAGGAGTCCTGCCTTGATCATTCATTTATCTTTCCTGATACCTTTAGAGAACTAGCGGTTTTCTATCTTCTGTGACACTTTATATTCTCAGTTACCTGGCAGTGGATTCGTGTCTTAGGGTGAGTGAGCAGTATCATGTAGGTCAACCATAGGCAGAACCCCAATTACTAATATTTTTTAAATTTTTCCAAAACAGGTAGTAAAAAGTAATTGGGTCTGACTTTTATTAAGAAGAAATATTTTTTTTATCTCTTGGGTACACTGGGGCACAGAGTGGGGTTCAGATCCACTGCTTCAGGATGCTTTGCCAGGATTACATCACATTGGCGTGTGTTCCGCAATGGTTATAAGATATTGTGCATTAGAACTGACATTTGCCAGAATTGAAGGATTGCCAAGGTCATCCTTGCAGAGGCTGAAACAAGCTTCTACAGGGGTGATGAGTGGATTGACAGCATTAACAATATCTAATTGGGTAGAGAATGCTTTGATTTGCTAACTGAGGGCCCATCCATGTCGTCTGTCCAGCGTGTCAGTACGGGCTTTCCCTTCATCTCCTGTAAATTGAAAATCCACAAGAATGGCATTAAGTGATAGTTTAGAGGGAACATACAGGTATGTGCAAAGGAGCCAGGAGGGCAGGTGCCAAAGGGAAAGAAGCCAGTGCCTCTGCAGAGGAAACCCATCAAAGCCTGGGACTTACTCTCTTTTGTTTCTTTAAAAATCACTGTTTGGAAGCATGACCATGGAGGAATAGCTGTTCATTCTGAGTGGCAGAGTATATGCATTGTTTCTATTAGTCTTAGTAAGTTTCAATATGTTTTGAAATTTCAAAATATGAAAGAAAAATAAAACTATGAATTTCAAGCCACTTAAATATTAGCCTGGCTGATACTGTGTCCCTCTTATGAGCTATGTATAGGTACAGTCATCCACCCCACTTTTTCCTCTGCTGGCGCAGGAGGCGGGCACTTTCACTCTTCAGCTTGCTGGTCATGCTGCTAAGCCAGGAGGGTGACGGATTAAGCTTCAGTCCTGCAGTCTCACCCCACGTCAAGGTGGGCGGCAGAGCAATTACACCAGACCTGCATGTAGGAAAGCTAGCAAGTCGAAGACTGCAACTCAGGTCTTTTGATTTGTTGCCCAAGATATAATAAGAGTTTTCCTGCTTATAAGTTGGACGAGGCAGGTAGGTAGCTGGCATGGCAAAGAGGCAGACAGAAACCACATTTTTACTCAGAAAATGAGGAATGTGATCAAAACTTGCTTGCCAGGTGGTGTGAATATGGAATGCATTGGTGCTGTCTGTCAGATCATCACTCACAGGAGGAGGTGCAGGAGGACTAATTGATAGTGACCATCTTGTTCTGGAATGTTCCTATGACATGTATAGGAATGACCATCAGGCACACTACAGAATGAAAGTAAGTTCTTTTCTTTCTTGATTCTCAAATCAACCAAGATTATCCAAGGATGATTGTCCTTATGAGTTTTTCATTCTGACTCAGTTTTCTGGTGGTTAGACCAGCCAGTCTGTCGGCCTTGCTCCTCGGGTCCATCACTGTGGACCTTTACCAAGAGTCCTTCTGTGAGACCTGCATCCTGCCTTCTTGGGCTTTAAGAAACCCATGGCCAATTCCTTTGTGGGCCAATAATATTATTATTTTAAATGGTATGTGAATGTGTTTATTCTTGTTTGAGCCTAAAGAAGTGACTTCTATATACAGTGGCTCGACAGTTCTTCACAAGGGCCACCACAGGACCTATTTAATGATAGTGAGGTAGTTTACCACTTCTGGAATTTCAGTGATCTCCATTGTTACGAAAACAAGATAAACTGGTTCGTGCTCTGTGACTTCTGGATCCTTGAGCACATAATTTAAGTCTCACAAGAATTTTTTTTAAATGAATCAAATAACTCTCCAATATTGACTATTATCTATTTAGCTTGCAAGGAGCTATACAGGAAGTTTGCTGCATCAAGTCCTAAGGTTAAGGCAGGTATGAGTGCCAAAGATCTGCTCATTCTGTGCCCAGGGGACATGAGGCCATGAAAAGTCCCAGGTGTCCCAGATTCTCCGTAATGAAGTTTAGCATCCCAGAGATGCTCAGTATGCACAATTACTAAGAGTTCATTATTCAATATGCTCAAAAAGGATAATAACTAGTATTTTTTATTCTTAAGATTTCCAAGTTCAGTAGATTCTATGACTTTCTAAATTCATTTTTTGGGGGCTGGGGGGAAGAACTCCATTAATGAGCTCAAAAATCTCCAGCTTCCTCACAGAACTTATACCAGGATCTCTAAGATGCCATCAAACCTATGAAAATAAAGTGCTCAGACATCTCGAGTGTAAAGTATTGGCATAATAAACTTCATTGCCCTTGACTGGACTGTAGGCCAAGGTTCTACGGGTTAGATCAGCTGGAAGTGCAGAGACCTGGGTCACTTTGCTTCCCACACAGGATGGTTAACTCACCACATCTGACTGAGCCTTTAGAAATGCCATATCCACAGCTCTTTCTCTTTCTCAGGAAGTCACTTGAGAGTCCAAGTGGAAAGACCAGAGAGCAGGAAAGGACAGGAGAAAGATGGCACTTAGCAGATCGAGGAGGAGGGGAAAGACTAGGCCGTGCAGGAAGGAGGACAGGGCGCTTAAGCCGCCTGATCTGCCAGGGGGCGCCTGCAGGTGCACCAGCTCCTGCCCCAGCGCAGCAGCCAGAGGAGGAGTAGCCTGAGGGAAGCAGTGTCTGTGCAGCACAGGGGCACTGCAGACCAAAGGACTCAGACTGACAGACAGAACTAGCTGTGGCACCAGGGCTGATCAGGCTGGCTGCTTCCTTTCCTGCCTCACTCTTGGGAGTGGAACTTTTTTTTTTCTTTTTCTTTTTGTTTTTTTCATTTAAAAAATCCCCTTAGCTAATTATCCATAACAAGGGCTGGGAGAGGGTGTAGTCTCTGAGGAGATGTCTATTCCTAGCAGGCCTCCACAGGTCCACCCCAGAGAGGACAGCGCCAGGTTTCCTCACCAGCGACTTACCCACCGCTGGGAGCAGCGAGCCCCAAGGCACAGAGTGGCTTTCACACTCCCTTCAGAATGCATCCTGTAATCACAGAAAGGAGCCACACTTGGCCTTGTTGAGTGGCTTTGTTGATCTTTTCACCTCCTGTGGCAAAGCAGGGTGGATGTCCATTGGCTTTTATCACTGTGTGTACTTGAGGTTATTTCCCGTGCAGATCTGCAACAATAAAGCTTAGTTGGAATGCTTTCTATTTAAAACCCGATATGGAGGGAAGGAGGATGGATTAAAAAAGGAAAAAAAATTGATTTTGATATTTTAAATCAATACAAACACTTGGTCAAAATATTAAAATAATTTTATCTCAATTTGCCTAATTAGGTATAAAATTATTAACATCTCAAATATGTCTATGTGACTGACAATGACCTTATCTAAGCATTAGAAAATATTAACTGGTTTTGGTTAAAAAAGAATACCAGTATTCAGTTCACGTTACTACCTGTTAGTTACAAGGCAAACAGTATCTAAACATTTGTGTATCAAAAGTAAATATTCTATATTTACCTGAGACTTCTAAGGGAGAAAAATTGCACATTTCATCTCTGTAGCTAAAGATCCTGATTGTACACATGAGATACAACATAAATGTGCTTTGTACATTTTAAATATTAGTTAAATTATAATAATAGTAATTACTGTTAATGATGTCCTGTGATCTACTGAAGGCAGTGACAATTTCTGGGTACTTTCATCAAGTAAAAACAAATTATCTGGCCATTGCCAGTCAAACCTGCTTTAACATTAAAAATCTTTAAATTCTTATCACACAACCTGAACACCATGAATCACGCTGCTTGGATGGGATGTGTCAGCTAGAAACAGTGATGACACCCTGATGAAACACTAAGACGAGCAGTTGAGACCAGTCAGTCCCAACTTTGTTTCTGAGCTCACTTTTGGTCACAGGTGGATGAAGTTTCCTGGAGAGCTGACTATAACACTGGGCCTCAGGCATTAGCCTGCCCTGTCATTTTTTCGGCCCTCATTTTCACACAGAAACTTGTACCAACAGCTGGAGAATTACGTGCTCTCGTGAACTACTTTATGAGTCCTCATGAGGAGATTGGTTCTGTGAAGGATGTGATTCAGAAGCAAACTTCAGTTTCTTTCCAATCTCACTTCTGCCGCTTGTGCTCACA